TATGTATGTGTGTATGAACAGATAAAGAAAGAGATTTATTTTAAGACATTTTCACCAACATTTTTCTAAACTAATGGCTCAAAGTGCTGCAGCATATTGTAACAAAAGAAGACAAAGTGTACCTGCTTTGCAATCATCAACACCTGAAAGAAAGGGGGAAAATAATCATATCTTATGTAACTGAGCTTAACAATAAACAAGTATGTGGGAAATGAGAGGAAAGTGTCCAATACCTCCAAAGTGCCTCTTCAACATCTGGGGAGGAACATTACAGACACATCTTAGAGTATGCAATGTTATATTTTGTATCATATAATTAATAATCACAAAGAATTTCTGTATAAATCTATGAAGAAATTGATTTACCTGTTTGTGATTCCACTTGGACAAATGATTGCAATACTTAGGCATACTGTCAAAACTCATACTGCAGTTCTGCCACAAGGGAGAAACAAAAGAAAAGTGAAAACAAAGCTCACTTTAATGTCTCCCACTACACAGATAGTATAGGTAGGGGTGGGGGTAAAAAGTTATACAGCTTAGTATTGTGGTTTTTGCATGCAATATTGTCTTGATTCACTGAGACCAATAAATTGTATCCTAACTCTAATACTGTGATAAAGTCATATCGTGAGACCTCTGGTGATTTCCACCCCTATGTATTAGGTACAATAATAATATCCAGGCTATCGTAGTGAAATATATTATTGTGATATTTATAATTCATCACCTGACAGTGTAGTTTGTACGATAATGCTCCAGGTCCAGCTGGCACTACAGGCGCTGGTGGTGCTGCTGGAGCTGCTGGAGCTGCTGGAGCTGCTGGTGCTGCTGTTGGCCCTGCTGGTGATGAGGAGGCTGTTGGTGCTGCTGCAGACGCAGCTGGTGCTGCTGTTGGCCCTTCTGACGCTGAAGACACTGCTGAATCTGCTTGCCCTGCTGGTGCTGCTGACGATACAGACACTGCTGGTGCTGTTGGCCCTGCTAGTGCTACAGACGTTCCTCTTGCTGTTGCTGCTGCAGACGCAGCTGGTGCTGCTGGTGCTGCTGTTGGCCCTGCTGGTGCTGAAGATGCTGCTGGTGCTGCTGGCCCTGCTCGCACTACAGGCGCTGCTGACGCAGTGTGGGGCTCTACAAAGAAAAACAAGCAGCACTGAGTTATCAGTTCTATATTTTTAATGGTTAAAAAACATTTTCAATGGAAGTTTTAAAAAAGAAGAACTGAAAACATTGTCTCTTTACTGGGACTATCAAATATGTTGGTACTTTTTATTATTAATCATTTTTATTATTGTTTATTCAACAGTTTGAGAATTTATGCAGAAATTTTGTAAAACACTAGAGACTATCTGACATGAGTCAGTCCACTGGTCCAACTAGTTCACAATTAAAGAATACATACGCAGCCTGCTCCCTGGTTTGATAACTGTAATCAAGCTGTCCTCCTTGTTTTCCTTTCTGATGGATTCCAGTTCCTTCAAAGCTGCAAGCCACCACAGATTCAGTTAGCAAAACATCATTCAGGTTTCCACTGAGGGTCCGGTTCATTCAGATGAATATAACATATACTGAGGCATGAAAAATAAATACCAACCTTCTGCATAACTAGCGAAATTCACTGATGTGTACTTGGCAGGCTCCAGGCTCACTTGCTGCAGCAGAAAGCCATATGGTTTCACATTAATATGAACAAAAGCATCTGTTTGGGAAACTAGCACTAGTGACTTTGTGAGCTGTATTACCTTCATATCAGTGTTTCCAGTACTCTGTAATTCTGCCTGCTTTGCAAAATCAAGCATTGTGGAGGCAAAGCGGTAGTTGTATTTCTGGTAGGATCCCTTTGACAGCAAAGTAGACGGGTGCCATTCTTTCTGCACAGATTCAAACTGATGTGAATTACACAAATACCTCACAAGAAGAGACAGAATACTGATTTCACTTATTGTGGACTCATTACTTGTGTGAATCCCACTTAAGTCTGGCCCCTCCCCTGGGACCACTTTGCCTCCAGCCCTCCTATATAAGGGGCCTGTCTCCACAGGGCAGCACACACCAGTAGAGTGTGACAAATGTCAAATACTTCTTTCAACTAGTGCAATCTTTTTACAATGTGTTTATCGCACAAGTTGACATCACGATGACGATATCAAAACTATATATTGTGCAACCCTAATCACGATATTTACCAGCACAGTGTCAACCTATGTCACCACTCCATCACAAGCTATTTCCTTCTAGTCAGTAGCCCCTTTTACACTGCCAGATCTTCCGCGAATGTTGGGTCGTTTTGCCAGCAAGCTGCGAGCGTTTAGAAAAACAGAGCCGGATTGGCGAGTTGATCCGAGGTGCCCAATTTTCCGCCCTTTTGGAACCCTTTTGGTTTAAACAGACCAAGGCGGCCTTCTGCAACGGGAGGGGCTGCTGAAGACTTGTGGGAGGGGCTGTTGATGACGCCGTACGTGGGACCCACTGGCGGTGGATAAACAGGAAACAGCTGATAGCAGGAATTAGCGAGCAGCTAGTAGCAAGAGGGAAACGAAAACCTGACAAACACTGTAAAGATGAGCAACTGAGGAGACAAGGAATTGCGCGCCCTCCTTGTCCTCGCAAACGAAGAGGCCATTAACTGGCAGATGACAGGGACGGTGAGGAAAGGGCCAACTTACGAGAGAATCGCCGAAGAACTGACCAGCCGCGGCTTCCCACCCACGTCACTGTTTCCGTCACATGTTTTGTTACTTGCTCACGCCCCCCATTGCCCCGAAAAAGGCACATTCTGTATAAACAAAAGTAGATAGGCGGCATTTTGCTGCACTCCCCGATTTTGTTTTTATACTGCCAATGCTGAAAAAAAGACTTCCTGCAAATTTGCACAATTCCTGTCTAAAAAGGGCTAGTGACACAGGTTCCATCATTTCCTCAAAGACACACCTTCTGAATGACCTATATCCTTGGTAAAACCTGGTGTTGTAGATATTCCCTGTATCTCTGTGATTGTGTGGCAACATTTTCTTTACTATCATAGCTACTTACAAAATAACAATAGATGTGGTCAAAGCTCAGGACGTGTTTGATGATCATGTGGGTGCCCAAAGTTAGGTGGCAGAGCGTGCAGAGATAGTATCTCTTCTCAGTCGACCCGGCACAAATGCATTCAACGAGGTGCTGCATGCCTACAAGACCATGATCAGAGAAGACAGAAAAGGGGAAGAAGTTAAAAAAGGAAACTGACGAAGGCCAAGCACAAAGGCCTTTGCATACCAAGTCTGTATTTTTTGTAAGCATTCTATCAAACCTTCAGCCGATAAACATCGCTACGCACAGAAACGTTGCACACTGACTCCCATATGTTTCATTGTCCTTTTGTTGCAAAAATTAGCAATACAAGAAAAAATAGGTCTCTGCCAGCATCTTGAATTTGACATCACGGCAACCTGAAGGGACTGAGATGTCCTACCTGTCTGTCTGTGTGTGGTCTATATCCTTTATGACATCCTCCTTCTCGTCATCATCCACCTGAATACTACTACCTGACATGTTGAAGTAGGCTATCTGAGTAATAAAATGATACCGTATACACCATTCCTCTCTCTTGTCGCGGATGTTTGTGTCCTGCATGTTACACCACATTTTCCTCACAGGTTCTTTGTCAAACAACTCTCTAAAGGATTGTGAGGGACATGGAAAAATACAGAAGATCGAACCTGTTCCACACTTTGACAGACTTAAGTTTCGGAATCAATGTGTAAATGTGATTGACACAACTTGAGGCTATATGTTATAAAAATTATGATCACGCTGTGTATGTACGCTGTGTACCAGTCAGTAGGATACTGTTTCTGTTTTTTACTCAAACACCACAACGTCAGCAGATTCATCAGCTCTGTATCTGTAAGGGAGGACAGGGAGGCTCGGTTCAGAGACAAATCAAGGACAGGCCATTTGGAGGGCCAGACAGGCAGGGTATTGTTCCAACAGAGGGACTGAAGATGATTGTGACATTATCTACAAGCGTGTACTTGATAGAGAACTGAAACATCCGAGCTTTCCATGCCCACTTGTGCTGTATAATAGCTGATAGCAAATGCTCCTCCAGGGAGCCTTTTTCTCTGTAATCTCACCTTGTGTGTTGCGCTGTGAAACGCTCCTTCTTGTACAAGAAAATAAAACTTTGTTAAACTTTGATACTTCAGCTCTGATCTCTGTTGCTTTAAAAGTCATTACGAAGAAATTCTTTTGATACTGTATTTATCTTAAACATGTAAAAATTTCAGACAAAAAATACAGACTTTGTGTGCAAAGGCCTTAAGTATGCATGCAATTTTGTTAAAGATGGTTATAAGTGGTGTCTGTATGCTAACCCCAAATGGGATGACTTGTTTTCTTTGTGCATGTATGGACAACTTCTCAGTTCCTACGGTGTGTAGGGAGCCAGAATTCCAACATTTGCTTTTCATCAATCATAGATTACCATATAAGAGGCCTTACACATGCAGCATCTTTAACCGCCTGGAAAACACGGGTCAGGCGCTAAGTGCTGCTCTTGTGCCTTTTTTGTTCCATCGCTCAAGAGTGCAGCGGCAGGTTGCGTCCGAGGTCGCCAAGCAACCTTAACAAGTACCATATCATAGCCTATTCACCTGACATCCAGAGCGCAGAGCTGATCTTCCAGGCACGTCCTGTAACAGATGTAAAGCTCTGGCAGCCCTGCACTAAAATGGTCAACTTCCTCTCTGTATTTATCACAGACTGATATTTATGGAAAAAGGGAAGACATCCAATGGCTGTGATTGGTTTGTCCTTGTCACATGACATGCAGTGCGCACTGCTGCATTCCAAAAGTTAAACTCGGTTTATCTCAGGGTGCAGCCGTCACTTCTTGAAAAATAGGCACCCAGGAATGCGTGCGCATTGGTGTTTGAGCATGCCTGCTGTGTGTCTACATTGAATCACCAAAAACCAGCATGTGTACGGCCCCTAAGGCATTGCTTTTTGCACTACAGTCTAAACTGATATTTTATCTAATACAGAGCTTTGGACGGTTTCATATCACAAGCCCATATCAGGATAATGTCTGCACTTTTACAATCAATCCCATACAATCCTTTGGACACTGATCTGTCCACACAAGAATTAATACACTTTTAACAGAATCTCCTTTTCACCTGAATGATTCCCACCTCCTCAGGCCTGTGACCCAAGAATGTCTCTTTTAATTGATATTACATGATTATCACTGAGTCGCAACAAGACTCCCATCATCTAATCCAAGCTATCCCATAAAAAATGTTTCTCCAAATGAATGAATGAGTGCATTTAATTTATCTGTACATTCATTCATTGAATCCAAGATTTTATGTTGGGAGACAAAACATATGTTCCCCTTTATGTCCTCTTGTTTTTCATGGCCTTCCTGTTCTTCATACTGAAGGAAATCATCTTCCATTAAAGGATATTTCATTACATTTTGTGAAACGTTTACTGACCAAGAAGTGGATGCTTCCTGTTGCTGTCTCTTTGGTATGTTTGTATCATCGTCCTCTTTGGCTTGCCAGCTGGAGAAAAACAAAATGCAGTGTTAAAGCATGGACTAAAGGATAAGGAAGAGTAAATGTAACATTCAGATAAAATCTCACCACACAGTCCATCAGTAGCTGTTCTACAGCTTTAGATCATTTCAAGTACTTTAAATCCAAGTTCAGATTACGGGAGTTTTCAAATCATAATCAGGTTGCATCACCCACATGAGAAACTTCACAGTTGTTTTTCTTTCTAATCTCAAACATGCACACACTGCAAGATTTGAAAATGATGGCATGCCACACACTGCAGGATATTATTGACATTATCGTGCCAGAGGCAGCAATACATCACCTCATATGATGTCATGATAAAGCAGATGTAAACAAAATAGAGACTGACGTGTTGCGGCTACTTTCTGTAATAATGCTTTGAAATGAGAAAAAAACAAAAGCAGAAGTCTAAATGAGTCTGGATGAGAAAATGGTATGTTGGATGTGATCAACACGGCGCGTCTATTCTTCAGCGAGAACTGTTGGTGAGTCAGTTTTAGTATCTGTCAACATTAGTGTGCTAGCTAATGTTAGTCTCAATGGCGAGCCTGTTTTCCGATGATTGGCAACACTGACAGCTGACGTAATCATAATCATAATCCTCTACATTTTAAATCCTAACCACCATTTGAAGTTAACGGGGCATCCCCGATAAGTCTGTGAGCAGTTTGGGAGGTTTAAGACTGAACCTGTAAACCTCTCGTATAGAGTGCTGCAGGGACGACATTTACTTGTAGGCCAACGTGGAAGCTAGTGTCACCCTGCAGGGTTGTCCACACATTCATTTATTTATGGCTGCCTGCCACAATTAAAACATCTGCTGCCATGTATTGATTTAATATTTTTGGAGCTGGACCGTTCATACGTAGTGCTGCTGGAATATATATACCATTTGGTTTTTTATTGCGGAGTGCAGGGTGTACTCTGGGCACACACCAGCAGAATGCCAGGTGCAAGGAAAGTGAAACTTAACCATTCATTGTGCTGTGTCTAAAGTTTGCTTTCACTCCCCTTGCAGCAGCTGTTCATCTCATCCACCAATCTAATCTGCTCTAACCAGAAAGCCAAAAGGATTTTTCCATCAGGTTTTGGATTTGAGAAAAATGTGCACATACCTTCAAGTAGCTTGAGAAGCTTGTCATTTTCACTGAGAATGCGCATCACTGGAGAGTGGAATTAGATCATTTTTTAATAGCATACATTTCAATACAACTCTCAAACAAATATCACATTGAGAAATCTTAGATTCATATACCCCCAGAGTAGGTTTCTGATTCAAGCTTTTTCAACAGATTTTCAGGTAAATCCAACACCTGCAAAGAGAAAATGGAGGGAAAATGAGTAACATCCTTTATCATTTAAAAAGGCTTTCATCCCAACAATAATGACAAATGTTGCAACACAGTCTGTACATAAAAGCACTGTGGAACCAACAACAATGTGGTGGTGAACTAGAACAGTTGCAGTGCGTCCTGGACAAGCATGACCATAGAGCCTTTCAAAGTTTGTAAACAACAATAACGTTGCGCACACAGTATGGAACAGTGCACAAGTTTGACAAGCTGCTCAAGGGCATTAACCACCAAAAGCCTTCTTTACATAGGACTAGCATTACAAGGGGACATCATGTAATTTAGAAATGATCAACCATGTCTTGTAGTGTAAAAGTTCGTGTCCAACAAATCAAGTGACAAGGTTAAGATACATAAGTTGATTAAGAAACACAAAAGATCATATAATCATGTTTCATGTATAAGGCATTATAAAACTCCTTGATCTGCATCTGAATATGATAAAACATTGTTGTATATGTCAAAGTATTCATAGCACCAGACTATGTAATCGTGTTACATGCACCTACTGAGAGAACACACCTATGACAAACTATGTCTTGTTTAATGATAAAACACATATTCAAATGTTGTAATACACACACACATTCACATATTGTGTTTTAAATGTTCACCTTATATAAGAATGAGAGCACTAAGGACTGCATAAAAAGTCCCCAAAATTCACATGTTTTTTTAAAAATAGAGTGAAAGCAAAACCAGACCTAAGGGTAGAAGATTTGGGAAATTCCAGGCTGCATTACACCATTAAAAATGGGCCCAATCAGAATTGGACACAAAGAAAAGTTTTCCACCAATAGAATTGGACTTGAGTGGGAAGGATTAGCAAAAGAGGTGAAGACTCATTTGAATCTCCACCAGCATATAAGCCAGGACGCTGAGAGCGTTTTTCAGTCACACTCCGGAGTCTGACTCACTAAGTTGTATGTGTTGGAGCCTGTTGACACATTAAACTTGATTGCATCGGACTTTGCCTGTTTCCAGTGTTTCTTTAAGTATTTACCAGCTGGGCCTAAGATACCAAATCAACATCTGAGGACAACTGACGAGAAACAAGAGGTTCAAGGTCGGGAGCCTACAGGCCCACTTCCAGGCGCCGACTTTAGACACTTCAGTCTGTATTTTGTGTGGTGCATTCGCAAAGACTAAGCAAAGTCTGTAATTTACTTGAATTTACCGATGTTATGACCTGGATATGATGCGCACCGTCATCTGTAACTCCACTCTACACAACACAAAAACACGACACAGCATCACTAGCGGGTGATGTACAATGATAACCTTTTTTTTTCTTTTAAATGTGTGTTAAACAAACCAAACCAATTTTGACACACACTGTTACGTGTCATCCTTCTCGTCACAATCTGATCACCAATCAGCACAAGCCTCATGCATCTGATGAAAGTAAATCCAATATTCCTTTTAACTCTGTTTTGGTCTCCATAAACTACTGAAGGAAATATCTATCTCTTTAAGGCCCTGAAACACCAAACCAACGGCAAAAAACTAGTGGCAACGAAGGCAAACTGTTGTGTCACCTCACGTCACCTATATCTGGCCAAAAAGTTGCTCTTGAACACACCACGAAGACTACAGCCAACAGCCAACTAACACATACAATCTGCACCTGCATGAAAGGAAATACTTCTTTATACCAGCGGGTGGCAATGACAATGACAAAAAAATGTTCGTTTTGATCTCATGCCCTCTTGACTTTAACTGTTTGTTTACTTTGCTCAGTTCTGTTTCTCCTATCGTGCACTGAGCTGAACTGTCAATCACAGTGATTTCACTCACTAAGGGGCTACACCATTTCTGACACAATTCAACATGCTGAATTTGCCAAAAAAAAGCTGACAAGGGCCGACTACAAAACTGGAGCCACAGACGTTCAACAACAGTCTGACACTGACCAACAGCCGATTGTCCCCTTGGTGTGTCAGGGTCCTTAGATGCTAAATGCTCCATTATGTTCACCAGCTAAGTGCTAACTTGTCTGTGTGCTGTTTTGTGCTAAGCAGGTAAGAGTTTTTTTTACTGAAACACTGCTTGCTGTAGACATAACGACACTATGACAATGGTGGGACTGAACAAAAGTGGTAAAGCTGTGGGCTGGGAAACCAAAACAAGGAGCGTAAAGAAACTATGAAGCTACATAGAGCTGACATGGTGCATGGTGGACTCTGTGGATGAGGACCCACTCCCTATGTAGATATAAACAGCTTGTTCTAAGGTAACGAAAACATGATTCTTTTTTTCAGGTCAATATACAGTAAGAAAACATACTTCTTACATTTCATTTTTGCCAATATATCCTCCTAAATCCTACACACTGCACATTTATTGTTGCATTATTCATTCAAATTTAGGATTCCAGGCCACGAGGTACAAACCTGTAGTTTTCCGAGCCCCCTTACTCTTACTTCCTTTAAGACCTCAGGCGTCAGAGTGATGTTCTTATCCATGAAGGGGATCCAGGAGAATCTCAGTACATTGGGGTTTACGTAGCTCTGAAATACAAAATACAAATGAAATTGTGCTTCCAAATTTTAAACAGCAGTTCATTTTCATGATGTTCAGCACTTACAAAGTAGTTCCTGAAATGGTCAATAGAAGAGAGGTGGGTTACAATCCTGTCTGCCGGGCGCTTTTCCTCACAGACATGGCAAAGGTAAAAATATGTCTCTGTGTCTACACTGAAACACAAAGTCATCAGAGACAAGCCTGGAAAAAAGCACATTGAATAGTTACTTAAAACATATGGAATCATTTACATCTTCAGCAGTACTATACAGTGTCTCACAAGTGTATACTGTGTATTATGCTGCTGCATGAATATAGAACTCAAGGTTCAGACAAAAATTGATTGAACAGAAACATTACTGTCATGTAATCACAAGTGTTATATCATAGGCAACTGGACTTGCTTGCATTTCTTGAAGATGCTTCGCCTCTCATCCAAGAAGCTTCTTCAATTAATGACTAAATCTGTGCATTCAGTGTAGTCAGGAATGCAGAGATTTGTACATTATACATCACTCCACAAATGCATGGCACAGCACAAGACTCAGTTGTCCACTTATATCTAAAGGAGAAGGGACATTCTTTCATGGACAGCAATGTGCACATCTTGGCCAGAGAAGAAAGATGGTGTTGATAGAGGTGTGAAAGAAGCCATCTATGTCAAACTGGAACAACCATCGTTAAACAGAGGAGGTGGCCTACGACACCACTTATCACCCACCTATAACGCAGTCTTGAGATCCCTCCCCAGACGACTTCACACCCATTCACACCTGAACCCATCTGACCCTAACAACACACATGATGGCTAGGTGGGTTAATGACTCACATGTGACCCCAACGACTCTGTAAGGGTTCACACCCACACAGAGTTTAAAGCCTGCAACTCAGCAGCAGTTATTTAGAACTGAAGAAGCTTCTTGAATGAAAGTCCAGTTGCCTACGATATAGCACTTATGATTACCATGACCTGGATGACTGAGAATCTTCACCGACATACTGCCATGCCAATCATATGCACTTTTTCTCATCAATCATTGTGACTCTGCTATAGTAAAGGCCAGGAGTGGTTTGTCTTCTGCTGATATGCATCAAAGAGAAGGAACTACAAACCATTTCAAAGACTACTAACCTACGATGGGTTGTTTGATGTGACGCCTGGCTTGTGGATTGATCAAGCTAATTTGTGGAAAGAAGCCTGTAGAGGAAAGACAACAACAGAAGAAAATATAATTATACTTCAACCTTAAACTTTAAATAAATAGGTAATACGACAGTGAAATTCAAATCTGTGTTGTGCATTATCTGTTTGAACCATTTCATGCTTAATAGGCTAAAGGTCTCTGTATGCAACAACAAACAAACTTATACACCGAGTTGTCTGACTGCATCTAAAAGGTTCAACCCTTTTCCAAATGGCTACACTTGAAGATGAAAGAAAGAAAAAACTGGTACAAGTGGAAACACTGGAAAGGGACAAATATTTTTTGGATCCCGTTTGAATTATGTCATGAATGCACATATTGTCTGTCAATTTAAAAGATAATTTTGCAAGTCAATAAAGTCACAGTTTTAAGTATAAGACTGTGAAAATACATAATTACAAAGACTGCACAAGCTGTATAGGAAATGTCATAACTTCCTTTCTCGCTGAAGCTCCAATGCCTGCTGTATTCCATACCAGTATGTACACCCACTAGCAATGGGTGTTGCTTGTTCGTTTGCTTTTTGGCTGATATTCAAATAAACACAAGACGTTTGTGCTCTAGAGAAAGGATCAGCACTCAGTGAATAATGTCCTAAGCCCTATGATAACCTATTATGGCAAGGCTTAACTATACAGACCAGTGAGCAGTGATAACTAACATGTCTCTGGGGTCATCGGGTGGGAACCTCCTTTCACCGGTGTTTCATCTAGTTGGTCCCACAACACCTCCAGGAGGCTATACAGTGATCTGTGGTGTCCCAAAGACACTCCCCTAATGCCAGGTCTCACTGCTCCCCACACCAACCCAACAATCTCCTTTGCCTTACTTACACATGTCTTTCTCAGCCCAAACAGCGGTGCCACCTTCAACAAACCCAGGCTCCGTACATGCGAGCTCCAGGTAGCGGCAGTGCCGATACTACTTTTACTAGCACATTCACCATACTCTATTTCACACGCTACATAGCATAACTNTGAAACTTAACCATTCATTGTGCTGTGTCTAAAGTTTGCTTTCACTCCCCTTGCAGCAGCTGTTCATCTCATCCACCAATCTAATCTGCTCTAACCAGAAAGCCAAAAGGATTTTTCCATCAGGTTTTGGATTTGAGAAAAATGTGCACATACCTTCAAGTAGCTTGAGAAGCTTGTCATTTTCACTGAGAATGCGCATCACTGGAGAGTGGAATTAGATCATTTTTTAATAGCATACATTTCAATACAACTCTCAAACAAATATCACATTGAGAAATCTTAGATTCATATACCCCCAGAGTAGGTTTCTGATTCAAGCTTTTTCAACAGATTTTCAGGTAAATCCAACACCTGCAAAGAGAAAATGGAGGGAAAATGAGTAACATCCTTTATCATTTAAAAAGGCTTTCATCCCAACAATAATGACAAATGTTGCAACACAGTCTGTACATAAAAGCACTGTGGAACCAACAACAATGTGGTGGTGAACTAGAACAGTTGCAGTGCGTCCTGGACAAGCATGACCATAGAGCCTTTCAAAGTTTGTAAACAACAATAACGTTGCGCACACAGTATGGAACAGTGCACAAGTTTGACAAGCTGCTCAAGGGCATTAACCACCAAAAGCCTTCTTTACATAGGACTAGCATTACAAGGGGACATCATGTAATTTAGAAATGATCAACCATGTCTTGTAGTGTAAAAGTTCGTGTCCAACAAATCAAGTGACAAGGTTAAGATACATAAGTTGATTAAGAAACACAAAAGATCATATAATCATGTTTCATGTATAAGGCATTATAAAACTCCTTGATCTGCATCTGAATATGATAAAACATTGTTGTATATGTCAAAGTATTCATAGCACCAGACTATGTAATCGTGTTACATGCACCTACTGAGAGAACACACCTATGACAAACTATGTCTTGTTTAATGATAAAACACATATTCAAATGTTGTAATACACACACACATTCACATATTGTGTTTTAAATGTTCACCTTATATAAGAATGAGAGCACTAAGGACTGCATAAAAAGTCCCCAAAATTCACATGTTTTTTTAAAAATAGAGTGAAAGCAAAACCAGACCTAAGGGTAGAAGATTTGGGAAATTCCAGGCTGCATTACACCATTAAAAACGGGCCCAATCAGAATTGGACACAAAGAAAAGTTTTCCACCAATAGAATTGGACTTGAGTGGGAAGGATTAGCAAAAGAGGTGAAGACTCATTTGAATCTCCACCAGCATATAAGCCAGGACGCTGAGAGCGTTTTTCAGTCACACTCCGGAGTCTGACTCACTAAGTTGTATGTGTTGGAGCCTGTTGACACATTAAACTTGATTGCATCGGACTTTGCCTGTTTCCAGTGTTTCTTTAAGTATTTACCAGCTGGGCCTAAGATACCAAATCAACATCTGAGGACAACTGACGAGAAACAAGAGGTTCAAGGTCGGGAGCCTACAGGCCCACTTCCAGGCGCCGACTTTAGACACTTCAGTCTGTATTTTGTGTGGTGCATTCGCAAAGACTAAGCAAAGTCTGTAATTTACTTGAATTTACCGATGTTATGACCTGGATATGATGCGCACCGTCATCTGTAACTCCACTCTACACAACACAAAAACACGACACAGCATCACTAGCGGGTGATGTACAATGATAACCTTTTTTTTTCTTTTAAATGTGTGTTAAACAAACCAAACCAATTTTGACACACACTGTTACGTGTCATCCTTCTCGTCACAATCTGATCACCAATCAGCACAAGCCTCATGCATCTGATGAAAGTAAATCCAATATTCCTTTTAACTCTGTTTTGGTCTCCATAAACTACTGAAGGAAATATCTATCTCTTTAAGGCCCTGAAACACCAAACCAACGGCAAAAAACTAGTGGCAACGAAGGCAAACTGTTGTGTCACCTCACGTCACCTATATCTGGCCAAAAAGTTGCTCTTGAACACACCACGAAGACTACAGCCAACAGCCAACTAACACATACAATCTGCACCTGCATGAAAGGAAATACTTCTTTATACCAGCGGGTGGCAATGACAATGACAAAAAAATGTTCGTTTTGATCTCATGCCCTCTTGACTTTAACTGTTTGTTTACTTTGCTCAGTTCTGTTTCTCCTATCGTGCACTGAGCTGAACTGTCAATCACAGTGATTTCACTCACTAAGGGGCTACACCATTTCTGACACAATTCAACATGCTGAATTTGCCAAAAAAAAGCTGACAAGGGCCGACTACAAAACTGGAGCCACAGACGTTCAACAACAGTCTGACACTGACCAACAGCCGATTGTCCCCTTGGTGTGTCAGGGTCCTTAGATGCTAAATGCTCCATTATGTTCACCAGCTAAGTGCTAACTTGTCTGTGTGCTGTTTTGTGCTAAGCAGGTAAGAGTTTTTTTTACTGAAACACTGCTTGCTGTAGACATAACGACACTATGACAATGGTGGGACTGAACAAAAGTGGTAAAGCTGTGGGCTGGGAAACCAAAACAAGGAGCGTAAAGAAACTATGAAGCTACATAGAGCTGACATGGTGCATGGTGGACTCTGTGGATGAGGACCCACTCCCTATGTAGATATAAACAGCTTGTTCTAAGGTAACGAAAACATGATTCTTTTTTTCAGGTCAATATACAGTAAGAAAACATACTTCTTACATTTCATTTTTGCCAATATATCCTCCTAAATCCTACACACTGCACATTTATTGTTGCATTATTCATTCAAATTTAGGATTCCAGGCCACGAGGTACAAACCTGTAGTTTTCCGAGCCCCCTTACTCTTACTTCCTTTAAGACCTCAGGCGTCAGAGTGATGTTCTTATCCATGAAGGGGATCCAGGAGAATCTCAGTACATTGGGGTTTACGTAGCTCTGAAATACAAAATACAAATGAAATTGTGCTTCCAAATTTTAAACAGCAGTTCATTTTCATGATGTTCAGCACTTACAAAGTAGTTCCTGAAATGGTCAATAGAAGAGAGGTGGGTTACAATCCTGTCTGCCGGGCGCTTTTCCTCACAGACATGGCAAAGGTAAAAATATGTCTCTGTGTCTACACTGAAACACAAAGTCATCAGAGACAAGCCTGGAAAAAAGCACATTGAATAGTTACTTAAAACATATGGAATCATTTACATCTTCAGCAGTACTATACAGTGTCTCACAAGTGTATACTGTGTATTATGCTGCTGCATGAATATAGAACTCAAGGTTCAGACAAAAATTGATTGAACAGAAACATTACTGTCATGTAATCACAAGTGTTATATCATAGGCAACTGGACTTGCTTGCATTTCTTGAAGATGCTTCGCCTCTCATCCAAGAAGCTTCTTCAATTAATGACTAAATCTGTGCATTCAGTGTAGTCAGGAATGCAGAGATTTGTACATTATACATCACTCCACAAATGCATGGCACAGCACAAGACTCAGTTGTCCACTTATATCTAAAGGAGAAGGGACATTCTTTCATGGACAGCAATGTGCACATCTTGGCCAGAGAAGAAAGATGGTGTTGATAGAGGTGTGAAAGAAGCCATCTATGTCAAACTGGAACAACCATCGTTAAACAGAGGAGGTGGCCTACGACACCACTTATCACCCACCTATAACGCAGTCTTGAGATCCCTCCCCAGACGACTTCACACCCATTCACACCTGAACCCATCTGACCCTAACAACACACATGATGGCTAGGTGGGTTAATGACTCACATGTGACCCCAACGACTCTGTAAGGGTTCACACCCACACAGAGTTTAAAGCCTGCAACTCAGCAGCAGTTATTTAGAACTGAAGAAGCTTCTTGAATGAAAGTCCAGTTGCCTACGATATAGCACTTATGATTACCATGACCTGGATGACTGAGAATCTTCACCGACATACTGCCATGCCAATCATATGCACTTTTTCTCATCAATCATTGTGACTCTGCTATAGTAAAGGCCAGGAGTGGTTTGTCTTC